AACGCTTCAATTATTGCCGACAGTTTTACTTTGCAGTTTCTTAAAAATGGTTTGGAAGAAAAAGCAGGATGAATTATGTGTTTGATTTTCATGAGATGTTTTGCAATTGATGATCCTGGGTTACATGTGACCGCCTGATTACTGTGTGTGCACCAACAGTTTAAGTCAGCTCTCAACCGCACATTCCTATCTACTCGAATCCGACTTATTGACTCTACGCATGGAATCGATTTGGACAAACATGTAAATGATTGGAAATCTTGTTCTGTCTCACACATTTTAAATCAGTATACCCGCAGTTGCGGTGACGCATACATAGGCACAACAAATCGCCAATTATCACAGCGGATGGCCGAACACATTCTAAAGTGGTTGGTGAAGTCGATAACGCAACCCACACACAGTAATCAGGCGGTCACATGTAACCCAGAATCATCAATTGCAAAACATCTCATGAAAATCAAACACATAATTCATCCTGCTTTTTCTTCCAAACCATTTTTAAGAAACTGCAAAGTAAAACTGTCGGCAATAATTGAAGCGTTGCTAATCAGATTACCTAATCTCGTTCTGTGCGCCAAAATGTTGTTGATCCAATCAGTTCACTTGCCGTGGAGTTGACCTATATGTTTTAATTCTAATAGCCCCTGTCTAACTGCACATGTCCGTTCTCTGTGATTTACAAATCCAATGTGCTACAAATGTGCTTGTTTGTTTTACGTCAGCGATTGAGAAGATTACACGAAATGTTAACATCTCGTGACATATGTCTTCTTTCGGTCTTGATAAGATGAATAAAGGGGACCCAGTGTTTCAAAAGCTGTGATGGTTCGTCGCTATGGTTTTCATGTGTAACTTGATGTGCTGCTTAAGTATAATAACTGTATTTTTCTGCCCTATTGTACCAGTTGATGTGCAGTGAATTCTGCCTTGGCTTAACTCGTGCAAAAACGTTTTTGTTCTCTGTTTTTCAAATTTATCTCAGTAAATAACTGTTCCGTTTGCAGTTCACTTCCATACCCGTTCCGGTCAGCTAACGCAGAGTTCCCTGCCGGATACCTTCTCCATCGATGCGTTTTCGATGTCAGGAAAGAATCGGTTCCATTTTCGAGAGGGTTACTGAATCGTTATTAGTTGGTTTAGGTTGTTGTTTTCGTTGGCATTGCTACATGGCATCCAGGTCCGCCTCAGAATAGTTTTTCAACCAAGAATGAATAAAATTTCATGCCATCGCTTGATCAGTAATTGTAAACTATCCAGCAACCATTCACCTTTCGTTTGTATGCATCAGTTGTGTTTGATTTGTTTTGACTAAAATGCAACCAACTAATGAGAGCAGCAGGAAGATCCAAATAGAGAATAAAAATGCTTCAAAATGCTATTTTAGACCATAGGTCGGAGAGTAATAATTTATATACTTCTCAGCTGTCCATGCGAAAGAAACTGAAATTAAAACTGTCCAATTTACTATATCGGCTAATGGCTAGCTAATTCGGCTCGCTTTTGCTCCGTTTTACCGCTTTTGCAAACTGAAGACTGCAAGAAAAAGGAGGACTATTGTTGATTCTTTTCCTCAGAATCATTTTGAGTTCTTTCGACTCATTGCCCAGTCTATCGCTCCTTATTTGTACCGGTGACATTCGTTTTGTTCCCATAATCGATTTCTTACAAGGGTTTCTTACCAAGCGGGTGCTTAATTTTCTCAGTCTCTGACACGTCAATGGAGATATAGACACACGCACACCGCCTGCTTTTCAGCCTTGGCCACACGAGTTCTCTTGTGATCTCCATTGTCCCATCCTATTTGTTGACCTATGTTCCGTCTACCCTTGTTCTGTACTACTTCATTTATCGATTATTTAACTACCGCACATTCGACCTGTTTTGATGGCTTCTTGGGAGTCACCGGTTCATGTGCAAACAATACACACATAGATGCACTCACGCCTGTAGCTGTTTGTTGAGATCGAATTGTTAGCGCCCAACTCTCTTATGATTGGATCGTACTTTGGGAGCTTCATGTTACTGCCTGACTGGACTTATTTATTTGACTCCGTTTACTTTGACCATATTCTCTCGTTGATACAGTCATCATCACTGTACAGCGAAATACAGAGAAGCGAACTTCACTGATCGCTGACAAAGGCGCTATGCATATGTATTGTGGTTTGTTGGACGGGTACTGCTAGAGTGTCAAGCCACTAAGCCGGAGAACAATTAGGGTTCTCAACCAAAGCCTTTAGCTCTGACAAGAACCTAGCCGCAAGGCAGCGGGTGAAGAGAAATGGAGGCCTATTTACTTGGATCAATTACTCCTCTACTATTTTTTACCGATCGAAATGCAAATCCTAGTCGAAACCCCCACCTGGAGGATCAGGAGCCTGGACTTCGTTCAACCTCTAGCCTTCGACCTTTCAGGTATGATTAGATCTTCTGATTGACAAAAGCCATCCTGTGTAGCTCGTTGGGCCAGAGAGGTGCACAAACCATCATACCCCTTCAAGGTGCAGTCTCGTTGTGATGGTAGATGTCCAATCATTCACATACTACGTATTATGAAATATTTCTATTGATGTATATATGAATATTGATATTCAGTTGTTCGCCGAGCTTGGCAATAGAGTTGCAAACGTTCCATCACCAGTCGAGGTGACATTCTCAGTGTAATAACTGGGTGAGCGCTTTCGCGTGTCCTTTTTCTCTATATACGTTATTGAGTTATGTAGTGACGTGGAGTTGCCTGATTCATTGATCTTTCGCCTTGTGGCTACAGGTAATAAGTTGGACGCGAGCAGATTGACGGCTGGTCGTTGATCAATCAATCTAAGTGCTACTGTTTTCCGGTTGTCACGTGTGAGACAACCCACTGTCTTTGTGTTGATTGGTCCGGTTTTGCATGGTGGTGTAGACTTGATCGACGTCAATGTGTCGGTTGACCGAGATTTCCGATGAATGACAAGCTTTCAGAAATTCACTTGCGTGCTTGGTGCTTGTCTGATCGACGACTTTGATGTTTTCAAAGTCGAAGTTGTGTCCTTCTCGGTCGTCGTGAATTGAGATGAGTGAGAGCGCATCGTGTCTTCTGACGGCTAGTTTATGTTCGTGCACGCGAGTTGCTCGTTTTCTCTCTGTTTGACTGATGTAGTACTTTTTGCAGTCTTTGCAGTTGATGAGTTGGATCACATTTTCTCTATTTTCGTCTTTTTATTACTTCTTGATTTTCGATAAGACTCTCCGTAGTGTTTTCGTTGGTTTGTGGGCGACTTAAATGTTATGTGGCTTCAGTATTCTTGTGGTGATGGAACGTTTGCAATACAATTGCCAAGCTCAGCGAACGACTGAACATCGAATTTTACTACTCGAGCTAGTCATTGAAGTTCGCTTACCGATCAACTGGTTTTAATCCCGCCAGGCACAATCGAATGTTATACTCGATAGAACTTGGCCCAAATGAGAACAGCAGGAATGGTCCGTAATAATTTATCAGTGAACGCCATGGGAACAGATTCTGTGCGGTAACGTCGCGGGCTTCCAACGGCTCGGGCACGTTTAAATCAATTGCAAACAGGCAAGGACGTTGAACATTAGACAATTCAGCCAATGGAAAATGGCTATTTTCCTTCACTTCCTACAACGAGACAAAGAGTGCAGAAAATAAAAGAAATATATGGAGAGCGTCTATTAAAGCTATTCTGGACAAAACACGAACGAACGGTTAAATTTTGACCACCGACATATTTCCACGAATGAAGTGTCAGACAAGAGATGCATAAGCTCGAATAGGATGCTTCTCCTATTTTTATTTAGCAAGCGAAACACCAGACGGATAGAGGGAAAGATGTTTTATGAAAGCAAAATTAATAAAGTTGTTTAGCTGTTCATTCTCAGTTCAGTTTTTAACAACCATTTACTTCCATGCGACGCATGTGATGTCCGTATTTTGGCTGTGCGTTAGAATAAAAGAAGTAGAGGAAGGATGAAAAAGTCAAAAGAGCTGTCAAGATGTGTCGTTATACGGTTTTCGTTAGGGTCAGGTTTCTGCTCTCCATGGCATCACTGGTCGAAATGCTGCGACATATACTCGATCCCTCAACGGAAATCCTGATATTATGACGGCGGCTGAAATGTCTCAAGCAGGACAATCCTCATCGAGCCTCATCACAAAGCTGTTCTAGAAAAAGATGCACCTTTTGGGAAAAGTGGATACTAATACGTGTAACTGCATACGATCAGTACCACGCAACTTCAATATAAACCAAAACGCACACACTTGTTATTTCGTTCAGAAAATGTCTGCATGAATTCCTCTTATGATTTTTCATGTAATCATGTTTAACTGGGGAATCAGTAGGGCAAGTAGATAAGTTTTGATATTTGGGCAGCTACATCTCACTCAGTGGACGCATCACGGATGAAGTGTCAGCTCGCATACAGAAGGCTCGGTTGGCATTTGCCAACGTAAGCAATCTGTGGCAACGTCGCGATATCCGGCTGTCTGTGAGGGGTGGAGTGTATGCTGCAGTAGTACGGCTATACGGAGCAGAAACGTGGCCATTAAGAAATCAGGATAAAGATAGACTGTCGGTGTTTGAACACCACTGTTTACTCAACGTTGCATGGGCGGACGAGCATTACTGAGGTTAGGCGCAAAGTTTTAGACCACCGCGGTCGCTCAAAGGAGCAATTGATCGACCTACATACATTACGTCGGTTGGGGCATGTGTTACGCATATCACCAAATAGGTTGCCACGGCGAGAGATGTTCGCCGAGGCAGGTAGTGGGTTGAACAAAGCCCAAGGGGGTCAAGCTAAGACCTGGAATGACGGTATGAAAATCCTATCTTGATCACATAGGTACCGTTAGGCTCCCCGGCTTGGAATCTCGGGATAATCGTAATAGATGATTGGAGACACTCAGTGATATGGCTGGATGTCGTGAGCAGTGGCGTTCGTGCATTTTCTCAATTTCTCTTCAACACTCAACTTTTCAATTTTCTATTCGACTCTGGTCTCAACATTCCTGTGTTCCAACCATGGTTCATTCAAATGGGCGCCAAAAGACAACAACCAAGAGCAATACATAGAAGTGTGTCTAATGGTTGGCTAAACTGAACTGAACTGAATCATGATTGGTAAAGAATGCTGGGAAAAATCTTTTTTGTTTCAGTGACAGCAGTGCATTAAGAATTAAATCACCCAGTTTCTTCATTCAATTGGGACAACGCCTCACAAGTTCATCTCTTGTTAGC